TACCCGAGATCGGTTATAACCTGCTTTCGATAAGCCAACTCTCGGAACGAGGTATTACGACTCTATTTACTAAAGAAGAGGCTATACTTCGAAGAGGAAACGAAGAACTAGTAAAAGGAGTACGTATCGGACGGTCCTACGTTCTAAAGGAATCCGGATCTATCGGGACTTCGAGAGTAGCTACTACTACGACTAAAGGTACTACGCTACTTTAGTACCGACGCCTAGGATATCCGGGAGACGAAAAACAACAAAACGTATATAAAGTACTACTAGGAGTCCCGGAGCTTTCGACGTTAAATAAGTCTTACGAGACTTGTATTACTACGAAGTCCGATAGACGATAAAGCTAAGAAGAACCCGAAAAGGCAGACTATTGCCTAGATAGGCCGAAGACGATACTCCGAAACCGCAAAATAAAGAAGACGATTTAAATAAAAACGACGAAAGGTCTACTATTTCTACGGCTTCTACTACTCCTACAGATTCGAATATAAACGAAGGAGGACTACGAAGGACTACGAGGGTCCCTAAAGTACCGAAGAGACTAAGGGACGAGATAGGGCTAGTAGCTCTAAAAGTCGACTATCGAAAGGCCTTCGAAATACCTACTCCCGAGACCTATACGGAAGCTATTACCGGCCCTTTCTCCCGATAGTAGAAAGACGCTATTAAAGAATATATCGAGTCCTTAACGGCTAATAATACCTACGAGATTATCGACTATCCTAAGCTAAAGGACGGAAAAGAGCAAACAAACGTTATTACTCCGAAATAGGGGTTTAAAGTACAAATACTACCGAACGGAGAAATCGATAAATTTAAGGCGAGATTAGTAGGAAAGGGCTTTACGTAACGCTACGGAATCGATTACTTTAAGATATTTTCTCTAGTAATACGTCTCGAAAGCCTACGCCTTCTCCTAGCTATCGCCGCTAGTAAAGGACTTACTATATTCCAAATAGACGTAGTAAGTGCCTACCTACTAGGAGAATTAACAGAGGAAGTCTACCTAGCTATCCCGGAAGGCCTAGATGTTCCCGGAACTAATAAAGTACTTAAACTCCTAAAAGGAGTACTAGGACTAAAACAATCCGGACGAGTTTAGAATAAGACTATTACGGCCTTCTTTAAAGAATACGACCTCTACGCTATACCCGCGGATCAATCGGTCTTCGTTAATAGCGACTATACGCTAATAGTCGCGTTGTACGTCGACGATCTTATTATACTAGCGAAGACAGAAGCGGAGGTTAAACCGCTAAAGGACGGGCTTATATAGAGGTTCGAAATAAAGGATCTAGGTCCCGCTAAGTTTATACTAGGCGGACGAATCGAGAGAGAGGCCGACGGATCTATACTACTAGATTAAAGGCACTATATCGAAAATACGCTTAGAGAAGAGGGCTTAGATCTAGACGAAACCTTCCGAGTATCGACTCCGGCAAACAGATATACGAATTTACTACCTATAACAAAGGACGAGGAGGTAGTAGACGTCCGGAGATACTAACGACTTATCGGAAAACTAAATTAGACCGTACGAGCTACGAGGCCGGATATATCTTTTCTAACGCAAAGACTAAGCTAATCTACGGTAAATCTAGCTAGGAGACACTACGACGGAGGTATCTACGGCCTTAGATACCTAGGGAATACTCGGGACTACTATATAAAGTATAGTCCTATCCCGAAGAACGAAAACAATACGAGTACTTTAGTTACTCGTTTACTAGTTATCTATACCGATTCGGATTACGCGGCGGACTTAACTAGGAAGTTAACGATAGGATATATATCCCTACTAGCCGGAGGACCTATATCTTAGTCTACTAAACTACAAAGGTCCGTAATAACTAGTACTACGGAGGCCGAATACTTAGCGCTATCCTACGCCGTAAAGGAAGCTATTTAGATCCGAAATTTCCTCGAGCAAGCCGGATACCTTACGGAAGACAACTATAAAGAACCTACGATTATCTACGGGGACAATAAGGCGGCTATCGCTTTAGTACGAAATCCGGAGTTTTATTCTAGAACGAAATATATCGACGTAGCGGCATATTACGTATAGGAACTAGTCGAGGACAAGCTAGTCGATATAAAGTATATTCCGATAAAGGACTAACTCGCGGACTTCCTTACTAAGCCCCTAACAAAAGGGAAGTTCGAAGAAAACGTAAAAAGAGTCCTAGGGACAAAAACGATTAAGAAGGATTAGGACTTAGCTATTTAGTTTACGACTAGATAGCTAAGTAGAGGGAGTGTTAGAATACTCGAGAATGTACGAGTCTAGTTAGATTTATAAGTAAGAGAAGGAGAAGGAAGTTACAAGATTATTTACTTACGGCTTAGTAATAGCTTGTAATTCTTAGCGCTAGGGTATATAAGTAGCTAGTAAGTCCTTTGTTTGAATAGCAAGCAATTCTAACGGTTTACCGATTATCTATATCATTTACAATAGGAAGAAACCTAATAGTTTTAACTTATATAGGTAACATTCTTATTATAGTACTAAAGCTAGAGGATGTTCTTTAGTTTAAGAAAGAACTAAGCAAGGTGTTCAAAATCAAAGACCTAGGTAAACTAACTAAAATTCTTAGGATAAAGCTTACTAGAGATAGAAGGAATAGTACTCTAAAGCTAGACTAAGAGTATTATATCTAGGAAAACCTTGCAAAGTATAGAATAACTAAAGAAATGGCCTACCTAACCTTGTTACTACTTAATAGCTATAAAAGTCTAAGGAAATCTAACCTAGATAAAGAAAGGTATAACAAGACTAAGTACCAAAGTTAGAATAGTATATAGATGTAGCTAATAACTATAACAAGACCTAACATTGCTTTTGCTCTTAGAAGACTTAGATTATATATATCAGATCTATCTAAGAGACATCTAAAGGCACTTAGGAAATTAGCTAGGTACCTAAGATTATTCCTAAGCTTAGGCTTAATATTTAGAAGAGGAGGAGGAAAGCTAATAGGATATTTAGACTCTAACTATACAATAGACAAAGCTAATAGAGTTTCAATCCTTAGAAGCATCTTCTTTCTCTATAGATTACTAGTTTCTTAGATAAGCAAGAAGCAAAAGTTAGTAGCTATATCAACTATAGAAGCTAAGTATATAGCAATAAGTGTATATATAAAGCAATCTTAGTTCCTTGCAGCACTCTTAAGGGAGATAGACTGTATATAGTTAGTAGGAGAATGTTTATTTCAACTATTAATTAAAGGGAATTCTAATGTAGTAAATGAAGTTAGGCCTGTTTAGATTATAGGGGACAACTAAGCAGCTTTAACTCTAGTTAAAGATGCTTATATCTATAAGAGATTAAAACATATTAATATTAGCTTTAATAAGGTTAGAAATCTATAGTAGCAAAGGAAGATTGCAGTAGAATATACTCTAACAAAAGAGATAGTAGCTAATAGCCTAACTAAGCCAAAGGCAGGGCTATAGTTCTAGGAATTTATTAGACAACTCTAACTTACATAAATAGTTAAAAGCAAAAGACATAGAGGAACTACTCTCTTATAAGAGTATTTCTCTATATAATACTAAACCTAGGAATTGAACCTAGCTAGTTAGATACACTATACTAACTAGGAGACTACTGTATCTAATTAGCTAATCGAAATTCTTAATTGAACTTAGACCTTTAGATTAGACTTAAGGACTAACTGTCCTAAGTAGGAGTATTAGAATATATAGTCTAGTTAGTAACCTAGTAGGTAATACTAAGGGAGGCTAGATTATATAAGTACAATTATATAACTAATCTAAGCTAATACCTTTTAGGTCTAGCTCTAACCTGTAGATAACAACAATATACTTGCTATTCCTACTTTAGCCCCTACGTTCCTTATAGCTTCTTTTATAGTTAAAGATCTATCTATACCTATCGGCCCTCCTCCGCTCGATATTATCCTCGACGCTATACTTAGCTTTCGTCTCTTAAACAAGCTCGAACTACGCGCTAATTATTTCGGGGTCTTCCTAGAGTATTCTCTAACGGTCCTTCGCTCGGTTATAAGCTATTTTTAGCTCTAATAAACGCGTTACTAAGTTTATAGGCTAGTTCTTACTAACTAGCTATCCCCCTCGTATCTTAAGTAGTTTATCCGCTATATATGCTACCTTATATAACTAGGGCGTAAATCCTCGCGAATCGAGGTTAAGAATATATTATATAACTATTCGCTCTTTAGTCGAGGTAAGCTTATACTAGCTATTACGACTATAGGGTCGAGAAGGAGTTCCGTAGTATCTAGTAGTTAGGGTCGAAGAAGGTACTTTAAATGCCGTAGCTACGCTTCCGAGGCTTTAAGATTAGTTCTAGTTATAGATAGAAAGGGTAAGAACGAGTCTGCCTTCTTAATTAGATAGTTGTGCGTTATATTGTTAAGATATAGTATATCGATTAAAAGATTAGTCGTGCTAAGAAATTCTAACTAGCTCGCTTAGGTAACTAGCTCGCTTATAGAATACGTTAGATCTTATATAGATTTTAAAGGAATATATTATTTATAAGTCTACTATTACTATTATTTACTATATATACCTATTCTATTATTATAAGAGACCTAGATATTACATCTTAGTTAATAAGCTATATAAGTACTTATAGTAATATAATAAGTCTCTAGTATTAGATACTATTTAGTAGTATTACTACTATAACTTTAAAGATAGTAATAAGCTATAGTTACTAATTAGAATACGAGATAGGCCTTATCTTATTAAAGATTTTTTAGTAATAGAATAGGGCTTGTTTAATCAAATTCGCTATATAACTTACGGGCGCAAACATCGCCTACACTGCGCCATCCAATCGGAAAGCCCGCCAAAAGTAACTCCCTCTATAGCCTTTGCCAAGCTTGCTAAAAATTAGCCATAGTGAATGCCGTGTACATCGATGTGTACGTAACAACATCTTTCAGATCGTCATCAGACTCCCCGAACGCCCTTCACTCACTAAATGGTTCTCTGATACGTTCTTGAAAAAAGTATGGACGCCCATTTCGCAGAATGAGGTCATGAGTGTCCCTAACGTCCTCGGAGTGGACACAAGCTGGTTGGCCGTTCAATCCCAGAGCAACACAACTGTGCCAGGGTGACTTCTGGAATCCTCCATCGGCTGCCGGGATCAATGCGACAGAAAGCTTTGAAGCACCCGAGGATGGGTGCATCGATAGGCGAACGTGGTGAGGGAACAGAGTCCGAATGGCGCCTGTGAACGCTTCAGACCGTCTCATCATCGCCTTTGCCGTCTTCTTGTACAGTCTGATCTTGGCACTGCTCCCCAGCCCTATGAGTGTCGGACTCGTCTCCATCTCGGACTGCAAAAACTTGACCATGCCGCAGTAAGTCAGCATAGTATCTTCATCGCTCTTGATCAGCTGTGTAAGGTGTTGCTCTGTCGGGGCAAACCGTGTTTCGAGCTGCTCGCGGCACATCTGTGCTGTGTCGAGGAACACTTTCTCCGTCAAGCCATCGTCGCAGATGAAGCCAAGCACACTCATGCAAGGTCTGAACCTGACATTCTCCAACTTTTCCCTCTTGATGATAGCTTCAAGCTCGACTCCATAGTCCCAGCAGTCTTGGTCGCTGATACCGAGGACGTCTGTCATCAGCTGTTAGCACTAAAACTGTCGTGGATCATGTCGGCCTTACCGTTGAACAAGACTCCGTCAGACGCAATGTTGACGACGGCTCCAAACTCGTAGGCCTCCTTCACATTCTCGGCCATTGCATTCAATCGGCGAAGGGCAAGTTCTTCTCCGAGGTCGGGAAGATGGCCCAGGACTTTGTTCTCGCGATTCAGCTAAAGCCTTGTCAGCCAAACATATACCGTGCAATCGATGGGTTGTACTCACGCTCTTGCAAGGGAAAGCTGGCATCGTGAGCTGGACCGGGGTGGACCTTGAGATATGATGATAGACATGGGGCAAGAATCGAAGCTTTCCACTCCATGGGATAGGACCAGAGGGTGTAGTGGTGTCTAACATCCCGACATGGGTGCCGTACTTCTCTAGGACATTTAAAACCTCAAATGACAGACGAAAATTTTCTGCCTCGACAGAGAAATCACCGAGTTGCTTGGGCGAGGAGATTAAATGAGACGATGGCGTCTCTTCGGAGTCTAATTGAGACTCGTCGACGATCTCCGTTATAACGACCGTGTGGATTCCCTTGTCGAGACGCGAGATGCTGCTTGCAGGATCAAACTCATCCGACGAGAGTATCGAAATGCCAGCGGTTGCCATAGCGTTGAATTTGTTAATGTTGGAGGTGATGTTAGAGGTCAAAAGCGTTATACAAAGGTGAGTTTGTCGTTGTCCTGCGTAAAAGCAAAGCTTCACCTCTGCTATTTGAATGCTGCTATATCTAGCGATCCTTTCGGAGCTGTATGGGCGTACGAGAATGATACTCGCAGCAACCTTCTCACCAATCGATCCGATGCGTGGTTGACAAAACGCTCTCTCGGCTCCTCCGCTTCAGCCTTCGCTTCGTTATACTCTCTTGCTCCGCCTGCGCAAGCCACCAGTGAACGAGTTTGGTGGGTCAGTATAGTCTCAGGCCTCAGACCATACCTACCATAATCTTAGCCGCAGCAGACCATTAAGACCATGGTGTACTAAGGTGCACGGACCTTAGTTAGTCATTATAGTAACTAGTTAAGACAGGGCATAACAACAGCCTACATCTTCTGGATATCGGGTAGCCTAGCCTAAATTGTGCTAAAGCTATACTGCGTAGAGATCGCTATCTAGTACTACCTGCCCCCTTGATTCCTTGTGCTATAGAGGTAGGAAGTCGACCTTGCTATCGCTTCTAGAATAGGAAGTTGGTGACCATAGTCACCGGTCTAGCTAGGTATCCTATACCATACTGACCGGTCTATAACTCGAGTCCAGACCGACTAACCATAGACTAACCGAGCAAGACCGAAGACTAAGAATACCGACCAAACTCGTTCCCTGCAAGCCACTGCAGCAAAGTCTTGTCCCAACCAGAAAATTGAGATCTCGAGATTCTCACGTTGACTCTGGCGCCACTGTTCCTATAACTATACAGAGGGATCCTGTGCGACTCCACGTAAGTTTGTTCCGAGGCTAGGATATTACGTTGAGAATGCAGTCATCTTAGAAGTACGGCAGGTTCAGCTGAAATTGCTCTGTAATATTTTATCGAGTAATTCACCCGCCAGCCTCCACATATAATGCTGTCACACGCTCGTGAAGTCGACGCTTATTCTCGAAACCCAGAGTGCAAACAATCAGCTACACTACAGCCTATCAATCAATCCAAGATGCCTTCTCGCGAGATCGATTCAAATTCTCCATTTGCAGTATTGCAAAACTTACAACCTGAACTGCCATACCCGAATGCTTCGTTATCTTATTGGCACCGTACAACACGCGGTTATCCTTACCTCAGAGCAAATGAAACTGGTCCCCCACCGACTACCATCCCCTATGCCATCATCGGATCGGGTCTCTCAGGCGCGTTGACAGCGTTCGAGCTCATCCAGTCGGGCATCAAACCCGATGAAATCCTGATCTTGGAAGCGAGAGAAGCTGTCTCTGGCTCGAGCGGCCGCAATGCAGGCCATGTTCGTCCTGACGCTTGCAGTGGATTCGGCGATTATGCTGCTATCCACGGACCAGGAGAGGCTCTCAATATCGTCAACAATGAGAAGATCGTTCTGGATTCGGTTCGACAGTTCGTGCAAAAGCACAACATTGACTGCGATTTCCAGCCCAAGCAAACTTTCGATGTTTGCCTTACTCAAGACATCGCACAGGACGAGCTGAACAACGTCGAACAGTACGCCAACGCCGGAGGCAGCTTGGAACACATCAAACTGCATGAAGGTGACGCCGCGAGAACGCGGACCGGTGTGCGCGACGCACTTACGGCATGGGAATGGCCTGCGGCCTCGGTCCACCCTGTGAAACTCGCGCAGTGGTTGCTCACCAATTCCATCGAGAAAGGCTGCAGACTGTTCACCCACTGCCCTGTCAGCCAAGTCAGTCAGGGAGAAAACGATAAATGGGACCTCCACACGGATCGAGGAGTTGTGGCTGCAGACAAAGTCATCCATTGCACAAACGCATACGCGGGCGCTCTACTTCCTCAGCTAACAGTAATGCTCCTCACTCCGATCAAAGTGCAGATGCATTCACTGACACCGACCAAAGCTCTTTCAGGCAGTAATGTGCTGAAGACTTCGATGGCCCTCAGATACGAAAAGCACCGTTATTATGCTTTGACGCAAATGGCGACAGATAGCATGATCATTTTTGGTGTCGCAAAACCTAGCGGGTTCACGTTTGATGAAACGTCTTTTACTGATGAGCTAGTGATGGAAGGTCTGGAAACGTTTGATTCGTTGTTCCCGAAAGCAAATCCCCAGAAGAAGAGGCACGGAGAAGGCTTAGACCATGCCTGGTCGGGTCTGATTGCCATGACCCCTGACAAGGTGCCCTATATTGGCGAGATTGATGGTCTTGAGGGCCAGTTCATTTGTGCCGGCTTCAATGGACACGGTATGGCTCGCATCTTCAGCTGTGTGCCTGGTCTAGTGAAGCTGGTGATGGGTGAGTCGTGGCAGGACACGAAGCTTCCTGCATCCTTCCAATACAGTCATGAACGGTTGGATAAGGCTCTTGCAGGCGTTGGACCTTAGTCTAGTCTTCGTATAGTTAGAACAGAACTCCGGTGAATGACACTGCATACAGCCCTGAAGTCGTCCTGCACTGTGAAGCGATACAAAGGCACTTCATTTACGTAGTCAGAGAGATGTTGCTTGTTCCAATTTTGACGCTGCATGAGTCCTTACGCCTGGTGTGACCAGAATAAACCAGAGATCTCGATGTGGCGCTGGCTTAATTGGGTGGATGCTTCTTCCATTAAGCGGGTAAATTAGACACCTTCAGCGCCTGGCAGTGTGGTCCACAATCAATCCGGGATTGCAATCTACTACCTGGGTGTGGGGAGTCGGGGACGAAGTCTTGCAGATGGAATTTTCTCACATAATAATCTCGTGAGTGGCGCATGTTGTCCGCGCCTTTTCATCGTACTACTACTTTGGTCAAACAAGGCTTATTTGATTAAGCTTTTACGCCAGTTTGATGAAAAGCCTGATCTTTTAGTATTTAACTAAAAAGGCCATCTTTTGCTAAACAAGCCCTCGTAGGCTAACTACGCTCGCTGTCGTTACTATACGCTCACTGTCGCATCCGGAGATAACTTGTCGTCTTATTTCCTAGTATAGAATGTATAAGGAAATCCTAATACTAGTTTTCTTAGCATAAACATATAAGTAGGGGATATATTCAAAATTCGAGAGAGGATAACAACTATAGAACAGAGGCTTCTAAAGGCAATAGCATACTTCGTAGAGGATAGATAGGTATAGAAGAGGAGATTAGACTAATATTATATATAGAAACAGCCCTAAGTCCTCCGTTTAAGCGCTAGGTTCTCCCTATATCCCCTTCTTCGACCTTACTACCTCTACTACTATATTAAGTCCTCCGCAATAGGGCCTTCGCATTAAGTCGCTTCTAGACTCTAGTAGGCACCTTCCGCTTCTTTACTACCTTATTGTTTACCTTGTCTAAGCTCTTCTGTATCCTTATCTTCTTAGTTAGCTTAATCTTCCTCTTTCTAAGCGTTAGAAGTAACGGCTTATTATAGACCTAACTTAGTGTTATTGTCTCGTTACCGCTAAGCAATATAGCATTACTCGAAGGCTCTTAAGAGGTTGTAGAAGAATCTAACGGTTAGTTAATAGATAAGGAAGGCTTAGGCGCGGCGGAAGCCCTTAGCGTAGAGTCGTTGTCGCTGCTAATCTTAATCGCTACATTGTCGTCGTTATAGTCTTCTTCGGCGGTAGATTCTCGCTCGCTATCGCCTATTATATCTTTATTAGTTGCGTGTCTATAGTCGTCTATATTAAGACAGGTATTGCTAGGTCTATAGCAGGCTTTAGAACATAGATAACTAGCCTTGCGGCAGTTACAGTGTCTAGTGCGGCATTAACTAATCGTATAGCGACAAGCGGTGTATATAGTAAGTAGAATGTTAGCTTGTCGCTTAGCGGCATAAGACACGGTTATTACCTTGTTCTTATAGCCTATATAGACCGAGAAGTCGTTACAGAAGATAGAGTCCTTCTTATAGAAGTGCCTTGTATGCTAGTAGTGCTTAAGAAGCCCCTAAGGAGTTAGTAACTTGAACAGGGGCTTCTTATTGCCTTCTTCGTCCTTAAATTGCTCGATAACCTAGCAAGTAATAGAATTAGGTCTATTTAGCACCTTGTAGCGCTATAGTATCTAGAAGCCGACAATATTACTAAGTTAGAAGGTACGTGGATTGCTGTATTTACGTAGGCGGTCGTCTTTAGCGTTTGCAGCCTCTTAAGCGGCTCGAATATAGTCTATAAGTATATTCTAAGAGTGGTCAATCTTAGCGGAAATGCTAGCACTCGAGATATAGGTAGTACGCCGTTGTTAGCTAGCTTAATACTACGCAGTTGAGTCGACTCTGTTAGCTTCTAGATGCTTAGGTACTTGCCGAGGCTGTTCTAGAAGTAGTAGTACACCTTAGTCTCGCTTAAACCGTAGTCTATCGCTAGACTATTTAATATTGTGTCTATCCGCCTCTTTAGTAGCGATACTAACAGTATTATCGTTAATCTCGTTAACTAGACGCAGGTCTTTAATGTTAAACAGGATGTTAGCATCTCCTTCCGTTACTATAGCGGACAGAGCCTCGGAAATAATACGAGGTTACGTTAGAGGGTTACGATTAAAGAAGGCCTTAAAGGGTGTCATTTTAATCGCTAAATGCTACGTATTGTTATAGATCCGAGCCGCCTTATATGCCGCTATAACCTACCCCCTAAGACCGAGTTGTAACTTAATAGCGGCTATTCTGCGTTTAAGAACACCGTTAGCTTGTTCGACGAGGCCTTGCGACTAAGGATAATATAGCGCACCGTAAGCAATCTTCGTACTATAGGCTTGTAATAGCCGCTTAACAACACCCTTAAATTCCTTGCTATTATCTATTTAATACAGTGCTGCAATGCCTACGAAACAGGCGAAGTCCTATATATAGAAGGCAACCTCGGCGGACTCCTTAGAAGTAAGGGCGTAGACTCGACAGAACTTAGTTTTATAGTCTTTAAGATAGAGTAGGTAAAGGTAAGGGCCGTCGGGATTACTAGAGAAGTCTACCTATTAAAATGTTAGTAAAATAGGTGCCTAGGCCTCCGAGTTGCCCTTACGAGGTCTATTTGCACCCTACTAAGTGTCTTACTAGCAACAATATGTTCGAGTGGGTTACTAGTCTAAATCTTCGGCCTTATTGCTACTAAATTACATATATAGCAATACTTTAGCACCTCTTAGATATCCGCCTTCGTTATACTATAGAAGCGCTTATTTACTAGGTGTTATATTGCACTATAACGAGCGTGTCTAAAGGCGCAGTGCTCGGTAGTAAGAATATGCCAAATCTCGTATTCTTAGATTACCTTCTTAGAAGAACCGTCCTTCTTAATAGTATACAAACGCGCCTCTTTAGTGTTGTATATAAAGCGCTTACGAGCCTATATCTTCTCGTTATATTCTTGCCTCGATAGTGTGTTATATCCGAGCGCTTTTAGTATAATCGCATCGTCTAATGTAACCTATTATAGTAGCCGCAAATAGCGCTCTCGAGTTACAAGAAGCTTATCCTTGCCGCTATTCTTCTTATCCTTCAAGTATTGCTAAAAAGCTAGTATTATAGAGGGCGGAAATAGATTAATACGAGTCGCTTCGTCGCTCTCGAAACTAGGTACAATAACGGTCTAATTCGGTCGCTGCGGTAGCGGTCGAAGAGGTATATTACGGTTCAATCGTATATAGAAACGAGTAGTATCTAGCGAGGTTGCGCGGAAGACGAGGCCTCTATTGCTAGCGTTAGTAGTAGAGGGTTATCGAGAAGCTATTTCTTCGAAGAAGCTAAAGTCGAATTAGTATAGTTAGAAGATCTAGCTTGCTAGATTTTAGCGTCTATTATAGCACAACAATATACCTATATACTATAATTTCTAGATTAGAATACGTAACGAGACAAACATAATCGATTCCGCGTATACTAGTGCGATAATTATAGTGTTGTAGTATAGTATATAGATTATGGTTACTAAGCTAGGATATAGCTTCTACAGCTTAGCAACAAGCGCTTATAAACCGGATTGACTAGCAATACGGACTTCTACACGGACCTATAATAGCTAAACAACTCCTAGGACCTAATTAAAAGCGCTATATTTGATTAAAGTATGAACCTTGACCAAGGACGCCTTATTTGACCAAATTATGCTAATGAAAGTGGCCAGTTTGATCAAATAGGGCCATATTTGGCGTAATACCAACGGACGGTGACAATGTACCCATGCGGCTGCGGCGACTATTGTAGCGACATCCACAAAAATTTGGCTCCCGCTCCTCAGCCTCAAGCGCCACAATCACTGGACTCACTTCCATACTGTCATTAAGTTATGTCTTTCAATCGGCTTGATGGCTTTTCATTGATTGCATCTACGACGAATGACAACGGCCAGCGCCCGGATAGCGAACGAAGTGGGCGTTCCACCTTGTGCTGAGCCATTTCAGAATAGACCACCAACACTCGGAGATTCTTCCGCTACCCACTCTCTACACCACAGTATGTTTTTCAGACAATGCTCGCTTGAGGATGAATCCTTTCCAGCTTTACTGGCTCTGTTGACATCGTGGCCGTCTGGCGGGCGGTGGCGAAGCCGCCACCTCAGCTAAGGCTTGGAATAGCCATGCTCAGTCCCATGCCGTCGATTGGAATAACGCGGCATCGTGATGTTAGAGTGTGCCTCGTCTCTCAGATGGTCGGTTCCTGGCTTTCCACTGCAGCCTCTATCGAGTGCTTTAATACAACCGTATCTGCCGCAAGAATGTGTACTATCATCACCTCGAACTCTGATCCTCAAACGCCAACATGAACTCTCTGCTCAGCGCCGCCGGGCTGGTTTTGACTCTTGCTTCCATCTCACTAGCAGCACCTTTCCAATACAACAAGAATCTGTCGCCCCGCAACAGTGTTCAAGCAAGTCCTGGGGCAGCGACCTACGACTACGTTATTGTCGGAGGCGGTACCGCTGGCCTGGCCATGGCCGCAAGACTCTCAGAGAAGGGCTCGAGAAGTGTGGCAGTCATCGAAGCTGGCACGTACTACGAGAGCTTTGGAAATACGAGTGAAATCCCGCTCTTTGACACGTTATGGACCGGCAAAGATCCAGAAGACACAAACCCCAATGTGGACTGGGGCTTTGTCACCATCCCGCAGAAGGTCAGTAACTGTAATTCTTGAGGCTTGAGACATATGAGTCTGACTTTGCATGACAGGGAGTTTTCGATGCAGAGATCCACTACCCTCGAGGAAAATGTCTGGGAGGCAGCAGCGCCCGTAACTACATGGGCTATCTCAGAGCCACGAAAGGCTCGTACCAACAGTGGGCCAACATGGTCGGGGACAACTCGTACACATACGACAACTGGTTGCCCTACTTCAAAAAGAGTCTCGATTTCAACCCTCCGGACATGAGCAAGCGAGCATTGAACGCCACACCGCAATATGATTCCGGCAGTCTTGGAAGGGGTGGTCCCCTCTCCATCACCTTCCCCAACTACGCTCAGGCAATCTCCTCGTGGGTCCAGAAGGGCATGCAAGAAGTTGGTATCGCGGTCAGCAGCGGCATCACAAGTGGAGTCCTCATGGGCTCTTCCTATGTCATCGCAACCCTCCAGGGCAATCAGAAGCGCGAGTCGTCCTCGACTGCGTTCTTGACTCCTGCAGCAAGTCGGTCCAACTTGAAAATCTACACCAACACTATGGCAAAGAAGATTGTCTTCTCAAACAAGACCGCAAAAGGGGTCCTTGTTTCGACTGGAAGCCAACAATTTACCTTGTCGGCCAAACGCGAAGTGATCCTCGCGGCGGGAGCTTTCCAATCGCCTCAACTGTTGATGGTCTCCGGTGTTGGCTCTGCTGCCACCCTCTCCAAATACAACATCCCCGTCATCGCGGACCGTCCTGGTGTAGGTCAAAACTTGCAGGATCATATCCTGATGGGGCCTAGCTACCGCGTCAATGTCATCACAGCATCGGCCATGGCGGACCCTGCCTTTGCCGCTCAGGCGGCGAATCTTTTCAACACGCAACAATCAGGTATCTTGACCAGTCCCGTGGGCGACTTTGGTGGCTGGGAAAAGCTACCTTCGCGTCTGCGCAGCACTCTTTCCTCGACCACACGATCAGTCCTCAGTTCGCTTCCGTCAGATTGGCCTGATATTGAGTTCCTCAGTATGGGCGGCTTCTTGGGATACCAAGAGAACGGAGCTCAACCAACAGACGGATACAATTACGCTACTGTTGCTATTGCACTGCAGGCTCCTCAGTCACGCGGCTCAGTCAGCATTAGCAGTGCCGACACAAGCGATGCGCCCGTCATTGATCCCCGATGGTTATCTAGCCCAATAGATCAAGAAGTCGCTTTAGCTGGTTACAAACGCGTGCGCGAAATTTTCGCTACGAAGGCCATCACCCCAGCCTTGATTGGCCAGGAATACTTCCCTGGTCCTCAGGTACGTGATTTGTGTCTTGTGTCTCTTTTTGCAAATACATGCGGCTGATGTTGAACAACAGGTCTCCTCGGATGCCGAACTGCTCCAACTGATTAAGAAATCTGTTGGTTCTGTGTTCCACGCTTCGTGTACTTGCGCCATGGGTCGGAAAGATGACAAGAATGCCGTCGTCGATTCGAATGCCAATGTCATCGGCGTGAAGGGACTTCGTGTGGTTGACGCAAGTGCTTTCCCTTTCTTGCCTCCGGGGCATCCTATGGCTACAGTCTGTGAGTTTCTACCATCTTGCAGCATCTGAGTGTCCCGCCCCACTGACAGACATAGATGCCTTGGCCGAGAAGATCGCCGCTCAGATCTTGCGCTCGTGATTTCCAAACCACTATCAAATCAGCATTGAATATTGACAGTGTTTGGCGATTTCACACTGCAAGTCCAATTTTGAGATGATCGATACAAGAGATTTTCGGATGTATATATTGTATAGGGCGTTTACGAATGGAAGGTTTTTTTTGATTACAATCCTCTCTAAAAATGTTGATATGTTGAACCTATGTTGGCAACTTGTGCCGCTATCTTGTTTTTGATATTTTCAATCAAGATGTTGCCATGATAGCATTTGCCGAAAGTGACACCTTATATGCTAAGTCACGAGTCAATCCAAGCAGAAGTATGTCACATATCTTATACATTTATCATTAAGCGGAATTCCGTCCACAGTTCCTGCCAGTCATGTTCATTTAGAAGGTGAGCATGCCACGATACCCATTTCAGGTCGAAATGAAGTTGAGCTTGCTCGCTTTCATTCTCGAATGCATATAAATTCCTGTGTAAAGGGTCAGGGCCTGCAATTTCTGCAATCTGTACATACTAACGTGATTTATGACTTCAGAGTCAGGTTTGGCTCTCCTCGGAGTAAGAAAGTATACTTTTGAAACCAATGCACACACCACAAGTCCACTCTAAGCTATGACACTCTAAGACTCCAGGTGCTTCGTACTCGGGCAATCATGAAGGTAAATCGCGTGATCCAGCCATCATCGATTGACGTCTTCTCACATCGCGACAGCAGGCGTCATCTTGACCATCTGTGAAAGTATGTTAGTGTCATGTAAGACGCGTGGAACTCAAATGACATACTCTCAGACCAAGCGAAGCTCCAATACCGACAGCAGCAGCGACATAGACGGGGATGAAACTGTCACAGCGATTCGGGTTAGCCATGGACGAACTATGCGGTTTGTTCTAGTCAAGACCAGATACTGACACTTTCGCCATCGACTCAACGATGATACTGAGGGTTTGGGCACGTTGCGTGGAGTCTAGGGATGCCAGAAACTCTCCACTCAGACCGAGTAAGGCTGCTTGGAGTTCTGTCCTTGAGTAGTCGACGAGCAGTGATTGCAAGCTTTCGAGGGCGGTGTTCACGAATATTGTGCCACAGATCGACAAGGCTAGAGAAACACTGAGCAATTGAGCTAGAGAAATGTCAGCAACTTGATGCATGGACTCGGTGGAGAGCATTATTTGGAAAGAGATACCAATCATGATGAACGCAATACCCGATGACATGAGTTCAGGTTTTGTAATCGCTTGAATGACAGAAAATCCAGACTGCATGCCACATCCAGATCCTATGCCGAGTAGGACAGAGTATCCATAGATGTGTGCCATTGATGTATTGACGTCAATGAATGCTAGCAAAAGGCATATCAGTATCTCGATTGAGTCAATGATCGAGTGAGAGTAAGTGTCGAACTTACAGAAGAGAACACCAGCGACTAGCACCTGCAAGCTGCCAGCCAGGAACCATGGCATATAGTATCCACCTTTGGACAAGTAACTGCCGTTGACCATGATCATAAAAGTGATTGTGATGATGAGCGGGAGTAAACGCACACCAGACTGGAGCGGCGAGTCGCCTCGTGTGAATTGAAAGTACGTTGGGATATAGTAGATTGGGATGAAGCCGGCAGAGTTGAAGGTAGCTGTCAAGACGAACAGGAGAATTGCTTCTCGATCCCGGAGAAGCGTGGCCGGAAATAGGCGAGTTGTCTTGGGGGTGAGAAATGTCGCTCGTTGTTGGAAAACGAATGCTGCAAGAAGAACCCCAGCGAGGACGAACGGCACAATGGTTGCCGCACTCTTCCAAGCATAGAGGGTGCCTCCAAAATTGACGCCCATGACCAGGCAGACAAGACATCCGATGCTGAGGACTGTACCAGGTGCATCGATCTGTGCAAAGCGGGCGAGTATGGTTCGCCCAGGCTGTGGCCTGTAGCTTGGAATGAGGAAGAGATAGACTGGACTCAGCAGGCCGATCAAGCAGAGGTTGATGTAGAAGCCCCATCGCCATGTTGCGCTCGAATCAGCAAATGCGCCACCAATGAGAGGACCGATGACATTTCCGATACCGAAGATAAGGCCGCTGTGAGGGTCAGAAATCTATGCTGACGACAAAGAAATTGACGTGCTCCAGAAAATGACCGAGACTTACACGAGCCCTAAGTACATGGGCTTTTCCTTGCCGGTCGTGTTACATGACAACAATGTCATAACGCCCAGGTAGATCCCGATGCCGCCAATGCCAGCGATGACACGACCGACAATGAAAGCGTCAATGCTCGGCGCTGCACCGCACACAGCGGAGCCGATCAAGAAGAGAAGAATGCAAGTGATGTACAGCTTCTTTGCATCAAACAGGGCGTACATGCTGCCGAAGGGGAGTACAGAACAGACGCCTCCGATCATGAACCTGCTGTTGTGTCAGTCGGTTTTCCAAAGGCCAAAGACCCCGGGACTCACGAGACTGAGAGCCATGGCAACTTGTCTATTCCACCCATGTCTCTCACAATGACCTATACCCTTGTGAGCTTCATGTTTTACAAATGCGGTCAGGTCTATTCACGAACGGGAATGACATCGGCGGTGATGGTGTTGTCCAGAGCATAGAGCAACACGCTCGACAAGATGCTGAGTACAACAAGAAACCACTGTAACCATATGAGTATGTAGTTCTGATTTTTGGAACCACGCAGATGTTACCTTGAGTCCTCTGAGCGTTCGAATCTCAGGTAGTTCGCTCGGTGGTTCTGACGCAGTGCTTGCAAGAAATTCAACATCGTGGGCGATGAGATGGGTAGGTTGGGCGTCTGAAAGAGACGGCTTTTCTGCTGGACCCATTGTGGGCGCTTCTATGATCTGGTAAAGAGAGTGCTGCAAAACAAGAGCAGCGTGATGGAAATTACATGGAAGTATGGAGGCTTGTACAGATTGAAGACGCCTGGGCTCCGGATGAGTTGACAATTCCGCGAGGCCGGAAGCAGCCTTGTAATGGCGTAGAGCCCCTAAATCCTACCTCCATTCAGGCGCCCCGCTTTGTAGGCTTGCATGCACCTTCCACCTTCCACCTTCCACCGTCTATACGTATTTGTTTCTATTCTCGCTCGTTCTTACATCATCTGCACTAATATGTATCTGGTTAGCGGTCTATGCTGAGCCTACAGCGAAGCGCCTGAAAGAAAACCGTGCGGCTCCTATACAACCGTCCGGTATACAAACGAGAATTCGAATTTATAGAAGCACAACCATATATTAGATAGACAAACCCAAAAAAGCTGTTCTGCGCAATGATAAGAAGAAGAATTGTCTTCATACAAGCCTATCGCTAATATTAGTACTGTAGGCTCTATCTTCTGTATACTAAGGCCAGTTGTCCGTACGATTCCTAGGTTTCCCGTAGATTTCCTCGGCTTCTAGGACGTAATACGACCATTCAGTACCAACAACTCTTGTATAATACGAAGGGGCCCTTCTATACATCTGTAGCTCGGCCCTCCAGGTGTTCAGGTCTCGGGGTATACACGTTGTTGCTGCTGTCTTGCCCTCGAGGGCAAATGCCAAGACTTTTGTCGCAATTTAGTCCAGCTCAGAAGGTCTCCTATAGCAGCAGCACACAGGCTCGATATAGACTGTATAGTTGAGGCTCTTGTATGCCTTCTTCCAAGCGATCTCCAAGTGCTATGTAGACTACAAAGTCGTGTTGCTATCGAGTTATAGCCTTCGAGGGCAAACAGCTGTTTTCTGTAGGCTGGTTTGGCCCGGTTTGTTCTCAGGCTTGTAGGAGAAGAATTAGTTGTGTGTCGTTGAAATGTCGTAAAAGTCCCATCAAATGTTAATGAAAGTCGATGTGACGTAATTCTTCATCCCGCAAGCCTGAATGGAGGTAGCCTAAATCCGTGTTTGCACGCGTTTGACAACAGAGCTTACAGTAGAATAGCAATCCAGCGGGCTCAGCCGCACAGCTATTGATAGCTTGGAGTGCTCACGTACCTCCTACTGTGTTTGTAACTTTGTGCAGACGGCGTGCCCTCAGCTAGCCACACAAGGACCGCACCTCACGGCCGGCAAGCCCGATCCAGTGTGACGCGTCAGCTCAGTCACATAACAAGCACGTGACTTCTTGGCTTGAAGAATTTTCATTGTATTTTAGACCATAGAATAGAGCAGAATATAGGCAATTAACGAAGCCAATTCAACCGCCGGCAATGCAGTATTACGTAAGTAATCCACTGCGCTGTACGTAATAGTTATAAGCCCGGATTTAATCCGCGGTATTAGAGACTTCTATAGCAGGAAAGAATTTTTCTATCCTATAAGACCTTTAACAATCGACAATAATAGACAGTCTTAACGGCACTAAGAAACAACTATATAAACCTCTACAATCGCTTCAAAGTTAATATAACCTTAATAATAGCTCCTTTATTAGCTAGCCGCCTTAGTAGTAGCAAGCTAGTAATCCTTCGTAGACCTAACGATTAGGATCGATAGTTTAAGCAAACCAAGACGTACCTAACTAGATATAAGACCTAGGTCCTTACTAATCTATATTCGACTAAGCTAACTAAACTAGTACAACCCCTTCTTCCGGAATTCGATATAGAACAACTTATAAGCAACCCCCTATATTAGGCTAGGGCAAAGCTTACTAAGGAACACTTTAATATAAGGAAGGCGGAGTTTAAACGCTTTAGGACAGCTCGCAATAAGACAATTAAATATCTAGCTACAACTGTAGACATTCGCTATTATTTAGAGATTACTAATCCTAATATAGACAACGTAGCACTAACTATGCGGCTTATTCTGACTCGATTAAAGAATAAGCTTGTACCTAATACTTAATAGCAAAGGACTGCCCTTAGTAAAGAGCTTTACCGCCTTGTAAATTCTAAGCAGGTAAAGGACCCCGAGCACTAGTATAAGGAATGGCTTAATCTTTATAAGACAATGAAACGTATACAATACCCGGAATTTAACAACTTGGTAACCTACCTATACACTGCAGTTACAAATGTGGATAAGACCTATAGTAAAGGGCTCTATATAATGTACTAGGTAGGGCTATCGGTCAACAACTTCTATCAACTTATTAGTATAGTACGAGAATATGCCCGCAATATGCTAGGTACTTCTACGAAGAAGGGTTTATCTTTTAGTATTATCTACGAAGAAGGTGAAGCTAGTGCTAACGCCGCCCTATAAGCTATAGACGACAACGACAAACCTAATAAGAACAAGGGCCGCAGTAATAGTAGCAACCGTATACTAAAGACATATACTAAGCTTACTAGAGTAGGCGAGAAGAAGGCATATAAAAACCGCGGCAAATGTACTATAGTAAACTACCGCCTTCGAGAATAGGTTAAAGAGAAGGATAAGGACAATAAGTAGAAAGGAAAACTGAAGTACTTCGAGTCCTACCTACGTAAGAATAAAGGGTTCTACCTAAGACAAGCTAAGTTCTTCAAGGACCTACTAGCTATCAAGATTGTATAGCAACACTATAGACTTTCGGCTAAAGATAGAGACGATGCTAGAATAGGAAATGGATCAGATAAAGTCTCGCTAGCCTGCTTCTTTAAGGCAGACACTCTAGACCTATTAGCCTTTGCATTAGTTACCCTAGCACCAACTACTAACTATCTGTTAATAGCTACAAACAGGAGCAAGAAATGGAACCCCTTTATTGCCCTTATATACGATAGTAGATCTAACTGCAACATTGTTAACTACCCTAGTCGCTTCAACTTTCAGGCAATGTTTATTCCTCCGCGAGCTACTGTTATAATAGGAACTGGATACAACAAAGTTATCGCTATTAGAAGGGCATCCTTTACTGTTAAGTCAGTAGTAGGTAAACCCCTAACTATTAAGCTAAAAGAGTGCCTCTATGTCCCTAATTTCTATACTAATATTGTTAGAGGGGCAATCTTCTATTACCGTAGGTTTAAGCACAATAAGCTTGATAATGTTCTCTATAACCTATAGGGGAAACTACTAGTCCCTCTTGTTAGACCTAACAACTACATGCCCTATTTCGATATTACCTATAAAGCAGATAGTAAACCCCCGCTCGAATAGCTAACAGGGGATAAAGGTAAGCTACACCTATACCCCTTCTAACTAGCACAGTCGACAACTATACTATTAGCCTACGCAACAGCTCGTCGCTCCGCACGCCTACTGCCGCTAAGGAAGCTTATACTAAAGCAAATACATAAGGTGTTTAGGCACCTAGGTGCTAAAAGAGCAGAAGAGCTAGTTAACAGGGTTGATAGGATAACAAGAGATTACATATATAACAATAAGGTACTAAGAACACTACTTTGTCCTATATGTGCATAAGCAAAGGGAAAGAGGCTCATCTCTAGGAGGCTAAGGCACTATAATATGTCGATACTGACTCTATATAGACACCTTGCAGCCGACCTAATACAGCTAGATCTAGCCTACAATAATAATTAGTACATGTTCTATGTATACGATCTAAATACTGGACTTCACTTTATATAGACAATCAGTAATCGCCAGGAATCAACTCTCCTTTAGTGCTAGAACTAGTTGGCTACCTTCGTACGCAGTATTAGCAGAGACATTATTTGTTTGTCATCTAATAATAAAGGGGGTATATCAGGATTTCGGTTTCGATCCTATCTACGCAATAACTACACTACTTGGAGGCTAACAGCCCTATACACATTAGAGCAGGACCTAGTAGAGCGAGCAGGCCGTACTATTATTAAGGTAGCTCGAGCCTTGATAATACACGCCGGATTTCTATACAACCTATAGCTAGAAGCAGTCTATGTAGCAACCTTCCTAGCTAACAGGTTACTAAGATTACGCACTGCCGACCTACTAATGCGAACTCTATATAAGATAGGTACTGGCTATAAACCAAATGTAGCTTACATCTACTAGTTTAGAGCGAGAGCATATCTAGTAATCTACGGAATAGAGACAACTAATAGCAAAAGGAAGGCTATACTGCTAAATACTATAAAAGTAGCCTCACGCACCTATATTAGATACCTATATAGATATAAAGGACACTCTATCTATAGGATATAGGTACCCTTACGAATGACAGTGCTACGTACGAGGGACGTTGTATTTGATAAAACCAAGTTCTACAATAGCTACAATAATAACCTAGGTGTTATTATAACTGACTAAGAGCTTTTAGAAGAATATAGTGATCTCGAAGAGCTATAAGCACCCGCCTCGGAGCATCAATTTAACGAGCTTCGAGAAGCATACGATACACCTTAAGACCTTGTTAGGTTTGGAATTGAGGGGGTAGATACACTAACAGGACCTAGTCGACTTATAATAGTTGACTCTGCAAGGCTAGCAGATGAGCTAGTTAAACCACCTAAACAATTACCATAAGCACTACTAAGCGAGCTGCAGCTTACACAGGTGCTAAAAAGGCTATTTCTAGAGCCTTAACTATAGGAACAAGACTTTCCAATTGATCTACGCGAAGCACTAGAGCCGCGTAATAATGTGCTAGATAGGTTAGTAGAACCAACTATTAATCAGCAACCTCAATAACCTAAGAACGATACTAGCAATAAAGCCCCTACTAACAATATAGACGCACTAGGTTATATAGATGATATAGACTTTAACTTGCTACGTGTAGAGCTTGCTAAATTGCCAATGCCAATTGAAGCAGCTAATGTATCTCATCGTTACTTACTAAATATAGGAGGTCTATACTATCGTATTAACAATCCAAACAAGCGATAACGAGTAGCCGCGATCCGTTACTATATCAACGACCGAGACTAAGCGAGAAACCTCCTTCTATTTAGCAACCTGTATATAGCAGCAGAGCACGAAGCTAGGTTAATATATAGTAACAGCGCCGACAATAATCAAGCTAGCAGCGATCTACCTAATCCCCTAGAACCGCTACTACTTCTACGAGACGAACATGATTCAAGCCTTACACCGAAGATCTTAGACCTACTAGCAGAGCTACGTAACTAGCGATAAGTACTTAAGAGCCGGTTTAAGGAACAATAGATACATACTACAAGAGTTGAATTCAACAAGGCACTAAAGACACGTACCTTTAAATAGGTAGATCTGAATACACTAGATAAGCCTAATCTCCTACCTCTTACCTAGGTATTCAAATATAAGGGTAATGCTAATAGACGACTGATCAAGTTTAAGGTAAGAGTATATGCGAGAGGGGACCTTTAGAAGAACGCACACTTAGACACCTATGCCTTAACACTAGCTGTACGAGTTTTTAGAGCCCTTATAGCGATCGTAGCTAAGTTTGACCTAGAAGCTAAGCAAATGGATACAGTCAATACCTTCCTCAATACTATATTCCTATATACGCTATACCTTAGGCCGCCTAATAGATTTAAGTAGAAGGGCAAGGTATTGAAACTAATCTAAGCACTCTATAGTCTATAGGAGTCACCTCGACTATAGTACAACTACTTTACTACAATACTAGAAAACAAACTTAGCATACAACTAGTAGACAATATAGACTGCCTATACACCGACCTAGACAAACAGGTATTCATCTTCTTCTACGTAGACGACATTGTACTATTATATTACCGACAGCATATGTAAAAGGCAATAGACCTTAAGTAGAAGTTAATAAAGGAATATAAAATTAGTAACCTAGGAAAGCTCTTATAGTTTCTCGGTATTAAAGTCATACGTAACAGACAGAACAGGAAGCTATAGTTGTTATAAAAGGCATACACTAAGAAGATAGGTCAGCGTTATAGAATTGATCCTAAGACTAGCAGGCGAGCAGAGGCACTATTGCTAACTAGATACGAACTATACGAGAAACCCACTAACAAGGAGACTCGTTATATAGACTTATCAGCAATACTAGCCTACTAGAGCCGTATAGGATCGCTCAACTTTTTAGTAGTTTAAACTAGGCCGGATATAGCCAAAGCAGTTTCTATGCTATTAAAGGCCCTTTAGAACCTACGACAAGAGGATATAGCCGCAGCCAATTGGTGTATCAAGTACCTACTACAGATAAGGCACCTATGCTTAGAGTACAACGCCGATAGACTAGCAGTTACCGCCTATTCAAGCTAACAGCTTTACGAATTTTACGGAGCTTCTAACGCTTCCTATAGCGACTATACGGGTACGAGACAGTTATTAGAAGGATGGATATTCAGTCTATTCAATAGACCAGTTGATTAGAAAGCAGCGCGATAGTCAACTATCACTAAGTCTACGACTAAAGCCGAGCTGCTAGCTGCCTTATATGCAGGCTTAGAACTAATCTAGTAGAAGCGCTTCTTTAGCAATATTGGCCTTACCTTAGACAGCACACCGGTGCTATACTATAATAATATACAGACTATTCGAATCATCAAGGCGGATGCTAGCAAGTTAGATACTAAGCTTAGGCATATAGACATTCATTAATGCTAGCTACGCTAAGAACATAAATTAGGTCGTATACAATGCGAGTATCTAGCAACACAGGACATGCTAGCTAATGGGTTGACTAAGCTCTATAGCCCTTAGAACTAGAAGAGGTTCATTAAACAACTAAGACTAACTAGACTACCTAACCTAACAACTAACTAAGATATATAGTTGTAGGGGTATATAAGGAAGCAACTCTTCCTCTAACAACCTCTTCCTCTTTAGCAACACGAAGATAACTCTATATAATAGGTAGTAGGCGCCGCCCCCCCTATTAATTGTAACTAAGTCGATTAAGTACACCTTTATCGATTAGCGCTAACAAAAGTGTCTAATACGATAGCGACGACTAATTAGGACAAAGGATTCAACCTCACTTCCTAATACGTTATTATCGCCTATATTATTACTTCGAACGTCACTTCTACTAACTAATAACAAGTCTGCGGCGATTGTATTAGTGCTAGTAATAATAGTGCAGTAGTCTTAGCTAAGGGTGGCGTCCTTAGTTAAGTTACCTATCCTAATTTATCAAATCTGTTTAACTAATATACATCTCACCTAATCCTTTATCTAATCAAATAGACGCTACCTATGCGATTGATATAATAACCGATAGTAATAATGTAACGGGCTTAGTTTAGCTGAACTAACTTTACTGTACGATACGAGTACTTAGATAAGGCTTAATAGTGTCGGTCTGTGCTTAGACTACGTAGGAAGACAACAGTTCCTAGTAATAGGGACTATATGTGAAGGTGTATATGCAGTCCGGATTATATAACGATATCCTTCTAGGGTAATCGGGGTATGAAATAAGACTCTCTTATATATAGTATAGATTCAAACCATTTTTTTAGTATTTTAATGAAGTACTATATAAGGAGTTGAAAAGATTAATTTTTCTTTTGTTTGCATATAAAGAAGCATTGACTACCTTGCCTAAAATAGAAGGCAACCTCTTTTGTACAAGCTAAAGGGGTGTATAACGCGTCAGCTTAGTTATATAACAAGTACGTAACTTCTTAGCTTGAAGAATTTTCATTGTATTTTAGACTATAGAATAGAGCAGAACATAGGCAATCAACGAAGCCAATTCAACCGCCGGCAATGCAGTATTACGTAAGTAATCCACTGCGCTGTGCGTGATATCCAGGCAGTAGTAGGGTAGACGGTGGTCCGCGCGACTTGGCGTAGTGACTCTCGGATAGAACTAAGACATGGCCACGATTGCAGCGAGGACTTCACCAGCGTCACTTCCAAACGAATATCAAATAATGCGAAATCTTCGAACCTGCACGGCATCTCATCTTTCGATCGATCCATGCAGATCTTGGTCGCTTGATAGAACTACAGCTAGAGCAACAACATCAAAAGTATGGCAGAAAATGCTTTCGACGAGAAGAGATGGACTGTTTAGTATAGGTAGTAGTATGACCATCAGCGAATCAACCTCCGCGTCATCATCTCCTCCAGATAGTCGTCCGTGACCCGAACCCTGATTTCCTGGAACGACAAGACAACCTGTTGTATTGCGACTATGAGAGACTCCCTGAGCTCAATCGACCGCACAGTGCCGTGCGCAAAGCCCATCTTGAGTCGTGCCAATTCTTCATCATCCTCCAGAAAGAAGTTCAGATATTCGAAAAGCGTTTCCATCTTGAAGCCACCATCGTCGGGGAAGGCAAGCTCAATCTTCTGTCGGACCGATTCGCCATCATCTGCAAGGAAAACCGCGGACACCGGCACCGAAGCCGACATTTTTTCCTCTGGCCCTTGCAAAGACGGCAGCAGGCTGGAGTAAAGGAACGCAGCTCGTTTGAGTCCCAAAGCTTCGGCGTGCTTCCTCACTTCACTGAAATAGCCGTCGATGTCCCAAGAGCACACAATTAAACATCGCATGTTTTGCAGTGTCGCTCGGTCTTCCTCTGTAGTGTCGGGTCCGAGGATGCCAGGAAACGACGTTGCGAATGTGCCTGCGCTTTGAGTCGAGCAGCAATAGAACATGCCGACATTGTGTCGATCCTCAAACCCAAGGGCTTGTTTGATGTCCGAGACTCTGATCATTCTGGCCACGCGGATGATGTTCTGATAGAAGGGCCCTCCCACAAAATCGAGATTCGAAAACATAAAAGTCTTCACAGGATCGAACGCGAAAGCTAGTATGTCTTTGGCGTTTTCCACTGTGTACCGCTTCACTGTGGATACATCCAAGGAAGCGGAATGCAAGAGTTTCATGTCATCGGTGAGCATCATGATAAGCGGAGCACCGAAGACATCTTGGAGCCATCTGATACTGCGTCAGTGCTAGTATCTCGGAGAGACAGATAGTCAAACATACTTTGTGAATTCGAACGGTATGGAGTGTCCGAGATGTAGACTGTCACTGCTTGGACCGCGGCCAGTGAACAAATAAAATGGTTCTTTTCGTTCGTATTTGTCGAGGATGGTCTCCAGGTCTCGGTGACTGAAGACGATACCCCTTCGTAAAAAGCGATGCGGCTTCCGGCCAGTCACATCCGTGAAACGCTGAAGGAGGTCCTTGTCGATAAGACTTGCATGAGATTTGGTAGCAAAGGCGTGGACCTCACTGCTCAGTGGAATATTCATCTCGACTGAAATGCCCATGGTGGTTAACGTGCGAATATATCTGGAAAGAACGGCACTGCGGCCAAGGTCTCTATCTGATTGCCAATCCCCGCGTAAAGACTATCATTAAATACTCGTACCGAACCTCACGTAAGATCTTGGCGACTGACATGAAGCTTTTGTCAGAATGGCCCGAAGCGCTTCGGGGCACTCCAAGGTCCACTGCGTCTATATGGACTTCACACCTTGCGACTTTGCGATGCATCCCAGATCCCGGTATTGTGGTGAAGAATGTGCATATACTGCATAAAATGTCTACAACTAGATGTTGGCTAGAGCATGAATGTCGGCAGCTCGAGGAGGGTCATGGTGCATAAGCAAGTCCTCCGATCGTCAAAACAGACGCAGCTTGGTTCACATTGTTGCATTTATGTTTGCTCCCCTTACGAACAAAAGCTGCAAAATCGCGTCTTGCCCATTCGCCGCCGCAATGTGTAATGGTGTCTGACCTCGGGCATCCTTCACCTCAAGCATAGCACCAGCGCCCAGCAAACTTCCGACGATACCATCATGACCTTGAGTCACCGCAATGTGTAATGCTGTCCGCCCATCTTTTTCCCGCACGTCGAGACACGCAGGACGCTTGACGAGTTCTTCCACGACGCTTTGCTGTTGGTTCCCTACGGCGAGGTGCAGGCTGGTACGGCCCATTGAGTCCTGGGCAAGCACATTGGAGTTTAATCGCAAGAGGAGCTGCACAGTAGACAGTCTGCCGCTCTCGGCTGCAATATGCAGTGCAGTCTTGCCATCTTGAGGTACGTCGGATGCGGCGTGGCTACTTGGCTAGAGAAGACCAATGTTAGTGCTTGCTGATGAAGAAACAGATGTCTTGGTACGGTACTAACATCCTCAGTTGACCTCGGGCAGACCTGTGAACTAGCATGTTCACCATTTCCGCCGCCAATGCCATTCAGAATCAGAGCCACCGGGTATGCTTCGCCCAAGTCCCATGAGCCAAGGGACGGTATGTCTTGGTCTGGGTTATAAGAAGTGTCTACAATCGCCGACGGTGTTTGGAGCCCGGTTCTACTAATCGCTATGGCGTTGTCGCGGCTTTCGCAGTAAGACACGGGCTTTGTGCTCTCGATGGAACCTCCAAGCATCGGCGCGCCAAATGTTGGTATTGATAGTTGGTTGGAGACGGCCTGTTTGTTCGATTCATCCTGTTCCGACCCTGGTGATGCGCCAACGACGAGGGTCATCTTTCCCACGGTCATGGTATCTCTAAATAATTCCAGCTCTTCCATCCGAGACTTCAGTCGCTTGCCTGTATTGATTTCGTGTTAGTGACTTTTGGCCGAGATTCTCATGGCTTGCAACTCACGGTAGGCCCTTTGCGCAATGCGATTCTGGACTTTCTTCCGACTTGCGGCATCTTCTACCATTGCGGTCCTTGTTGTTGTAAAAAGCGACGCCGCTCCTAACCCCAAGTCAGAAGTAGCCCATATAACTTTGTCGTACAACACTCCCCCTACTTCTTTACTTCGGGGAAGTAAAGAAGTCCTCTCGACTTAGGTATCCTTATCCCGCTACTAGCGTAGTATACTCCTACTCGCGGTATAATAGAAGTGCCGGCAACCTTTCCTAAACGGGCTTAGTTCTCTTCTTTTACGCTGTAACTACTACGCTATATCGCCGTCGGCGATCCCTCGAAAGCGCAAAGCCGGGCTTATAACTATTGTAAATAATATAGATAAGCGGTAAACTATTAGAATTGCTTGCTATTCGAACAAAGGACTTACTAGCTACCTATACACCCTAGCGCTAAGAATTACAAGCTATTACTAAGCCGTAAGTAAATAATCTTTTAACTTCCTTCTCTTTCTCCTACCTACAAATCCGACTAGACTCGCACATTCTCGAGCATTCTAACATATTACAAATAATACAGACAAGCGGTAAACCGTTAGAATTGCTTGCCACCCGAACAAAGGACTTACCAGCTACTTATATACCCTAGCGCCAAGAATTATAAGCTATTACTAAGCCGTAAGTAAATAATCTTTTAACTTCCTTCTCCTTCTCCTACTTATAAATCCGACTAGACTCGTATATTCTCGAGTATTCTAATACTCCCTAGCCTCTACTTAGCTATCTAGTCGTAAACTAAATAGCTAAGTCCTAATCCTTCTTAATCGTTTTTATCCCTAGGACTCTTTTTACGTTTTCTTCGAACTTCCCTTTTATTAGGGGCTTAGTAAGGAAGTCCGCGAGTTAGTCCTTTATCGGAATATGCTTTATATCGACTAGCTTGTCCTCGACTAGTTCCTGTACGTAATATACTACTACGTCGATATGTTTCGTTCTCGAATAAAATTCCGGATTTCGTACTAAAGCGATAGCCGCCTTATTATCCCCGTAGATAATCGTAGGTTCTTTAAAGTCGTCTTCCGTAAGGTATCCGACTTGCTCGAGGAAATTTCGGATCTAAATAGCTTCTTTTGCGGCGTAGGATAGCGCTAAGTATTCGGCTTTCGTAGTGCTAGTCGTTACGGACCTTTATAGTTTAGTAGACTAAGATATAGGTCCTCCGGCTAGTAGGGATATATATCCTATCGTTAACTTCCTAGTCGAGTCCGCCGCGTAATCCGAATCGGTATAGATAACCGGTAAACGAGTAACTAAAGTACTCGTATTGTTTTCGTTCTTCGGGATAGGACTGTACTTTATATAGTAGTCCCGAGCGTTCCCTAGGTATCTAAGGCCGTAGATACCTCCGTCGTAGTATCTCCTAGCCGGATTTACCGTAGATTAGCTTAGTCTTTACGTTAGAAAAGATATATCCGGCCTCGTAGCTCGTACGGTCTAATTGAGTTTTCCGATAAGTCGTTAGTATCTCTAGACGTCTACTACCTCCTCGTCCTTTATAATAGGTAGTAGATTCGTATATCCGTTTGCCGGAGTCGATACTTAGAAGGTTTCGTTTAGATCTAAGCCCTCTTCTCTAAGCGTATTTTCGATATAGTGCCTTTAATCTAGTAGTATAGATCCGTCGGCCTCTCTCTCGATTCGTCCGCTTAGTATAAACTTAGCGGGACCTAGATCCTTTATTTCGAACCTCTATATAAGCCCGTCCTTTAGCGGTTTAACCTCCGCTTCTATCTTCGCTAGTGTAGTAGGATCGTCGACGTATAACGCGACTATTAGCGTATAGTCGCTATTAACGAAGACCGATTGATCCGTAGGTATAGCGTAGAGGTCGTATTCTTTAAAGAAGGCCGTAATAGTCTTATTCTAAACTCGTCCGGATTGTTTTAGTCCTAGTACTCCTTTTAGGAGTTTAAGTACTTTATTAGTTCCGGGAACATCTAGGCCTTCCGGGATAGCTAGGTAGACTTCCTCTGTTAATTCTCCTAGTAGGTAGGCACTTACTACGTCTATTTGGAATATAGTAAGTCCTTTACTAGCGGCGATAGCTAGGAGAAGGCGTAGGCTTTCGAGACGTATTACCGGAGAGAACGTCTTAAAGTAATCGATTCCGTAGCGTTGCGTAAAGCCCTTTCCTACTAATCTCGCTTTAAATTTATTAATTTGTCCGTTCGGTAGTATTTTTACTTTAAAAACCTATTTCGGAGTAATAACGTTTATTTGCCCTTTTCTATCCTTTAGCTTAGAATAGTCGACAATCTCGTAGGTATTATTAGCCGTTAAGGACTCGATATGTTCTTTAATAGCGTCTTTCTACTGTCGGGAGTAAGGGCCGGTAATAGCTTCCGTATAGGTCTCGGGGATAGGTATTTCGAAGGCCTTTCGATAGTCGACTTTTAGAGCTACTAGCCCTATCTCGTCCCTTAGTCTCTTTAGTGCTTTAGGGACCCTCGTAGTCCTTCGTAGTCCTCCTTCGTTTATATTCGAATCCGTAGGAGTAGTAGAAGCCGTAGGAGTAGTAAACCTTTCGTCGTTTTTATTTAAATCGTTATCTTCGTCTTATAGTTTCGGAGTATTGTCTTCGGCTTCGGAGTTGTAAGAAGGGTTATGTTAGTAGGTAGATAGGGTAGTAGTAGATATAGTAGTATTCGATAGAGATCTAGGAGGAGAAGGAGGAAGGCAGGCTAGTTAGCCTAACGCTAAGCGCTAAGCCCTGCCTAAGGCACTAAGACCCTAGCTTTACTCGAGCTAGTTATATACTAATTACGTATAGCCTCTAATATACGCTCCCCTTCTAAAGGCCGCGCCCTCGTAGCCTATCTATGTTCTAATCTTAACCTCTATAGCCGCTAACTTAGCATATTAACTAAGCTGCTTAGCCGCGCTAAATTAAACGCTTAACTACCTAATTATATAACTAAGCTAAACCTTACCTTCTAATATAATGTCTAACTCTAACTGCGCTATCCTTATATATAATAAAGTAAAGCGATATATATCTATAAGAATTAAGGGCTATCGACTAATTATAATATAGGCTCGTCTTCCCTACTATAATAGGTAGACGTACGAGGTATTATAGTACTACCTCCGTTCTAAGTAATGTCGTTTCGAGTTCTTTGCGTCTACTCTTAAAAGACCTAGCAATGTCCGCTCCGAGGGTTGTTCTTGTTATTACGAGGGCTATTATTTACTATCGTAGTTTCACTAGCCCTAATTAGTTAGGTTTAGTAGCCTTTAATTGTTAATCTTATCTTACCTTTTTAGAAAAAACACAGTTCGTCTAGTTTCTATAGATAAAGGCTATTATAAGTGTAATAGTTAAGGTTCGCCTTACTTAAAGGGTTAGAAAGATTAAGGAGTAATCTATTGTCCGCAAGATCGACCCCGGCTAGCTTAGCTCTATATTTTTGCCCTTAGTTAGTCTATTAATCGCTTAACCTTTTTAGTCCCTAAGCCCTTCGAACGGCTTAACCTTTTTAACCTAGTCGGTATAGTACGGTTTAGCCTTAGGCCGCGGTATAGGTAAGGTTACCCTCGTAGGTATAGCGATAATAGTAGGTAATGTTAATAATAGCGGCGCTAGCCGTCTTAGCGCTAACTTTACCTTACTTCTAATTTCCTTCTTCGACTAGCAATACTTTAACTAGTAATATACTCTATAATACTATTACTAATATAGCCGCGCCGTCCCCCCGGCCGTCGCTAGCTTATAGCGCGACGCTATCGTTATTATTATTATTATTATTATCTGCGCGCGTGCTATCCCCGCCGACCGCCTAGGCCTTAGGGCCTCGATAGAATAAAGGAATAAAAGGGGGACCCGAATACTAAGAGAAGGGCCTTATTGCGTTAGCAGAGAGGTAAAATCCTTAAAAGAGTAGGCGATTAGTTAGCGCGTTATAGCGCGCTTATTAACGGTCGGTACGCGTTCGCTATAGTAGTATAGTATTATTGTCCTAGTTTGCCGGCCTCTAATTAGTTAGCTAATAGCACCCTAGGGGTAGCATTGTTCCTAGGCGACATTATTTAGCCTTCTTCTTGTTCTTTATACTAGTCTAATACTTATCTAACAACTTAGTTATATCCTCGAAGGAACCTTTAGCTTCCTACGAGTTCTATTTAGGTAAATAGCCTTACTATCTTGATAGGTATTCCTTCTTGCCTTGCCTAGTCTAGTGCTTTAGGATGCGTTCTATAGACTATAGCTCTTTACTATCGGCTAAGACTTCTTCTAACTTAGTAGGCGCTTTATCGCCTTCGCGTTAATAGTATAGTTTAAGAAGGGATATATAAAAGGTATTACAGATAGTATAGTACAGTAGGAGCTATAACTAACAGGCCTATACGGAAGAGCCCTTAACTTCTCGAATGCAGAATAGGCTAATATATCTTAGTACGAGCTTGGGCCTTGTTTTGCTATTAGGGGATAGGTGTTTGCGGATACGGAGGTTCTTCGTACTAAGTATAACTATATCGCCTTGTTTGAAGGTTATTAGTATATAGCGCTTATCGTAGTAGGTCTTTTAGTACTTTTAAGCCTTTGTTAGCTTCTTAGCTATCTTAGTATAGATTTCTCGTATCTTTTAAACCCTCTTAATAGCCGCTAGTATCTTAGGTTACCTGCTTCCCTTTCCTTACGCTCGGCCTCGAGCGATAGGGGGTCTTATAGCATAGTAGCGTTCTAGCCTATTATAGCTATATACGGTAAGACCTTAGTTAACGAGTAGACACTGTTATTATATACGAATTCGGCTAGTTATAGGAGGTTAACCTAGTCGTTAGGGTTCTTATTAATGTAGCTACGCAGGTACTGCTATAGGGTAGCATTTTGCCTCTCGGTTTAGCTATCTATTTGTAGATAGAAGGCTATAGATAGCCGATGCTTAAGTCTTAGCTATAGGCATATCTCGCTCTAATAATAGGATATAAACGTCGAGCCCCGGTCGGAGACTATCCCTTTAGGGGTTCCCTAATAGCTATAGAAGATATTGTTCTATAGGGCTTT